AATTTGCTTTCTTGTAAGAAATTCAAATGATTAAGAATTAATTAAAAATTAAAATATTATTTAAGATATAAAACAATATGGAATAAAAATTCTTCATATTCCTAATTTAAGAGCTATTTAAATTGATAGATAATTTAAAATAAATTAGATTGAAAATGTTTCAAAATTTTTATTCAATTGTATTTTAGATCATCAAAATCTAATTCATCAAAACATAAAGCCTATTTAATCTTAATAAATTTAGTTCTTAAGAATTTTTGAGTAATTTTATAAATAATACTCTATTAAAATTAATGAAATAAAACACCATTACAAACTAATTTCAAAAATATAAGATAAATTAAATCAAATAGTTGCCAATGAAGATGGGTTCTATAATTAAAACTCGTTTCCTATCAGAGGTATTTAATGGAAAATAAAGAAATTAAGGAATTAAAATTATGAATTATGTATGAATTCAAAATAAAATAAAGCATAAATTGATAAAGTAATAAATCAAATCTAAAATTTAGAGAAATAAATTTTAAAATAAGAGCCAACTGACTTGTTAAAACTCTTTTGTGAAATCTTCTCCTAAAACAATTATTACGTTGTTTATCTTTGGATTGTCGACTAAATTCGAGATTTTAATTAAAAGAACTTGATAAACCTATAAAAAACTGACTAATAACTTAATGAATAATTTAATCAGTTAAAATAGGAGAAGGATTAATTAAAGTAGAAATACCATAATGATTTATCAAGATTATGTGAGGACGAAAAAAATAACGAGATTAAATAAAATATGAAAAAATTAAAGAAGGAAATGGATTAAAATGCTTAAGATATCTCAAAAAAAAATGTGGGTATTGAATTATTTTGGAGGGAGTTGATAAGTCTTAGAAAATCAAATAAATAGTTTAATTTTGATCCTATTGAAACTCTCTCAAAATTGATTAGAAAAGGAGAATCCTTAGAATTTCTTGATGGTGATACTTTATAAATTGACACTAAATTTTTATTTGATTTAGCTAATAAAACTATGTAAAATAAATAGCAAAAAACATTGGTAATAAGTATATTGGGTCCTTAAAGTTCTGGCAAATCTACAATCTTAAATAAGATTTTTGGATGTCATTTTTGGGCTAGTGTAGGTAGATGTACAAAAGGTATTCATCTTTAAATCCTATAAGTATAAAATAAGGAGATTTTTTAAAATTATTTTGATTAAATATTGATATTAGACACAGAAGGTCTTTAAAATCCAAATTAAATTGATCCTGAGTTTGATAAAAAGATTTCATTATTTGTTCTTTCAATCAGTGATATTATAATGATAAATGTTAAAGGAGAAATGAATATATAGTTTAAGAGTTTAGTTGAAATGTGCATTTTTACTTTGGGACATTTAAAAAAAGGGCTATCAATGGTTAAATAATTAAGTTGGTTTTTTAATTAAAATGAAAATTACAAAGATGTTTAACCATTTAGATCATAAATTAAGGATCTTCCATCTAAATTAAATTTACAGTGGAACGAAAATTATATAGATTAATAAGAGGAATACATTAATTATGCTGACATTTTAGATATTTAAGGAAATATCTAAGGGCTAGGGTTTGCTTCAGATTAGAAAGATTGGAGGAAAAATGGTTGGAACTAATCAGTAAATAATCACACATTTTCTAGAGAAGCATATCAACAAGGAATCAGTATGATTAAACAATATATTTTAAAAATTAAAGATTAATCGTATCTCTTAAATGATTTTAATCATTTCCTTTAAAATGTTTAGATATTTTGGGAGAGCATTGAAAAATTGCCTGACTTATTAGAGTTTAGTGAGCTTATTCAGCATCAATAAAATTTAATAATGAAATAATATTACGATGAACTTTTGAGGAACTAAGAAATAACTTAAATGCACAAAGAACTAATTTAGGAAACTCTAAAAAAGATATAAAATTAAAAATAGAAAACTTTTAATTTTTTTAAACAGATATAAATTGAATAAGAGTCAGAAATTGAATCTAAATATACACAATTAAAATCTTAAATTCTTGAAAAGATGAATACGTTTAAGAATCAAAATAAAATACAAAAAAAAATATCACAAAAATACACAAATAAGCTTGAAGATTAGATTAATAGTGAGTAAGTAGCTTCTAAGGTCGAAATTCAAGATATTATTGCCATGTATGAAGCAGAATATCAATAAAAAAAAGGATATGTTTTAATTGATAATTTTATTTAAAAAGTCTTGAATGATTAAAATTTGAAACAGAAACTATAGGGAAATGATTAACAAATTACCCAAGAATTTGATATGATTTGGGATAAATTTATAAAACAATCTAATATGGCATAGGAACAGTAATTTTAAGACATTTTAGATTCACACTATAAAGCTATAAAATCTATTTCTAATCACTATAATTTAAACACTAAAAATGAAGAGGAATATTTCAGTTTTTTTATGAATAAAATAATACAAAAAAATCCAAATGATATTTAAATCTCAGAATAAGAAATGATTTTTACACTTTTTAAAAAAGAATTATCTGAAACTGAGCAATTCATAACCCTAGATAATAATAAATAAAATTTAGCTTATCTTGATATATTTCATTAAAATATTTTAGAAAAAATAGAGAAGTCTAAAGATTAAATATTAGATTTAAAGCAATTTTTCTCTTAAGAGATAAAATATTGTGTTGTTGCAAAAAATGATGTTTAGTGTTATTTAGATTCCCATTTTTAGTAAGATTTTTAAGACTTTTGGAACAAATAAAAAGATTCTAAAAGCTTAAAAACGCATTTTTATAATTTTTTATCTTTACTAAACTATTTATCAATTAATTATGATTAAAAGAAAAAAGAAAAACTAGAAAATTTAATAAATAAACCCACTTTTTTAGATAATTTATAAAATTTGTTTTTTGGTAAAGGGTCTTCAGTTTATGAGGAGTTTTGCGATTTGAAAGCATCTTTAAATTTTAAAAATCATCATTAAGAAATTGATTTATCTAACAATCAAATTGCTAAGACGTTTAAAGATACTTACAGAAATTTGAAATGTTAAATAATAACAACAAATATTTAATCAAAAAAAGAGTTGTTGCAAACTTACATAATAATTGAGTCTTAAAATGAAATTAATGTAAGTTTAACTTCTTACAAAGAATCATTTGATTACATAATGAACTCCAAAGATAAAACTCCTCCATTTTTTAGTTAAATTTTTCCCAAATAATTCAACCAAATTATGATTGATAAAAATGGTTGGGCTAAACTCTATAAAGAACTCTATAATTTAATTAAACAAGAAATTGTTGGTAATAACTCTAAATTAGCATATTAGGCCTCTGGATTATAATAAGATAGATTGTGCTATTTAAATAAGAATAAATAAGTAGAAAATTTTTAATAATTTAACCAGTATTTAATCACTAATATAATGTAAAAAGTCTAAAATAAAATAAAGGTGCAATATAATAATTAGTTTGCCTAATTTGGTGTTATTTTAACAGATGTTGGGGAAAGGTGCATTAATTATTATTCAATGTTAATTATTTGGAGATTTATTTGCTATTAACGTTGGAGTTAAAGGAAAATAAATTTTTAACATGAAAATAATCGTAAAAATGAATTAGATAGATGCATTGCAGAAATTAATGAAGATAATTTAAAATAAGGCTGTATAAAAGCAAAAGAAGTTGTCAACAAAATAACAACATTATTGAAAAACAAATTTGTGGAAAGAACAAAAAATGAAGTATTTGAAAAAATTAAAAACAAAGGTATGTCAAATGTAGAACTTATAGCACAATTAGATAATAAAATATTAACAGATGAAAATGATTTTCAAAATGAAAGTTTTCAGTAAAAGATAATATTATATACAACTGATCATAAATCCTATATAAATAAATACACCAATGATTTGATAATGCAATTAAGAAATGAATTATAAGCCGAATATTTTCAATAATATAGAAATGAATTAATAAAATATCTAGTGGATGTATAAAAAAATGCAAAAGTTATATTCAAATATGTTTAAGGTTAAAAAAACGAAGTAAAGACTATTAAATATTTTATTGAAGAAGAAAATTAAAAAGATAAGTCATTTTACGAAAATTACCTTTTCAGTTTGGTTGTTTAATGTCTTCATGGTTAAATTTATGATAATTTAGACATAATTGAGAATTAATACTAAGAAATATTTTAAGTTAGTAATTACAATAATATTATTAGTGATTTAACTTTAAATTGGAGGTTAATTAACATATAAAATTAATAAATATGTAATTTAAAAAGCTTTATTGAAACAGTAATTCTATAAATAGATCAAAAAAAAAATACTAATTAATTAGTTTAATTTAATTTAAATGAATATTAAGTTGAAGTTGAATTAGAAAAAGTAAAATTATAAATGAATGGTTGTGAGTTTACATGTCCATGTTGCAAAAGAAAATGTGATCAAAATAATGATAATTTGCATAAGCATTAATGTCAGAATGGTCATTAAATCAGAGGTAATTTTATTTTTTAATTAGGCATTAATGGTATAATGATTACAAAAAATAGACCCTCATTATATACTTGTGAAGAACTAAACGACAAATGTAAACTGAAAACATTAGAAACAAATGTTGTGAAACCTGGAAGGAAGTTAAATAAGCACATTCATAATGGGATTTTTAAAATTTAGATAATACATAAAATAAAAAAAAATGGGTGAACATTTGGAATAAAGGATTAGGAAAACTAATTTGTTCTTATTTAGAAAAATAATCAAAGGATGAAATTATATTCTCATAAAAATTAGATTTAGAAAACATGGTTTTAAATACTCATTACATTCTAATTCTTGATGATTCAGGTTCAATGAAAGGGCAAAATTGGACAAACGCCAAAAATGGAGCATTAAAATGCATAAAATCAATCATGAATCAAACCTTGGCTAAAATTAGTGTAATCATTTTCAATTAAGATGCAAGAATAGTTGTTGAATGTTAAAAACCGGTATTATAAGAAATTTCTAGAAAAATTTAGTATAAAGGAGGAAACACCTAATTTGAACCTCCATTTTAGAAGGCCCTAACATTGATTGAAAAATATCAAAATTTTGATAAGTAAGAAATTATCAAATTTTTAGAATTTAAATATTATTTTACACTGATGGACATGCTGGCTATCCTGAAAATATAATCAATTAATTCAATCTACTACCTGTAGAAATCAGATAAATAATTAACTTAGTGGCTTGCTCAGGAGAAACAATATCTAATTCATTGGCTCTTATAATAGAGAAATTTTAAACTCATATGCAAAATGCTGAACTCAGAAATGCTGTCTTGCCTGTTGATTTGTCAACCGTGTGGACAGAAGTAGTAAGTTAAAATTTCCATAATTAATTAGTATGAGTCATTTATTCATATATTATCACAGACGATATAATACATTTTTAATATTTCTATGCTTTTTTTTTAATTAATTTGTATATCCTACAAATTTGGGTTT